TCCAAAATATATAAGCAACTCTTACAACTCAATAGCAAAAAAACCCCAACTCAATTGAAAAATGGGGAAAGGACCTGAATAGACATTTTCCCAAAGAAGATATGCAGATGGCCAGCAGGTACATAAGGAGGTGCTCAACATCACCAATAGTCATGGAAATACAAATCAAAACCACAATGAGATATAACTTTGTATCAGTTAGGATGACTTTTATCAAAAAGATGAGATGAATGCTGGTGTGAGTGTGGTGAAAAGAGAACTCTTGTGTACTGTTGGTAGGAATGTAAACTGGTACAGACACTATGGGAAATAGTACGGAGGTTCCTCAAGAAATTAAAAATAGACCTATCATATGTTCCAGCAATCCCATTTCTGGATATATATCCAAATGAAACCATTATTTCAGAGATTTAATTGTACTCTCATGTCCTTTGCAGCATTCATAATAGTAAAGAAATGGAAACTATCTTAAGTGTCCATCAGTGGATGAATGGATCTAGAAAATGTGATACATACACACACAATGAAGTATTATTCAACCTTAAAAAAGAAGGAAATCCTGTCATTTCTGACAACGTGGATGAACCTGGAGGGCATTATGCTAAGTGTAATAAGACAAAGACAAATACTGTGTGGTATCATTTATATGTAGAATCTAAAAAGTCAAACTCAGAAACAGAATAGAAAAATGGCTACCAGAGGGTGGTGGAAATAGGGAGAGGTTGGTACAAAGGTATAAACTTTAAACTATAAAATGAATAAGGTCTGAGAATCTAATGTACAACATAGTGACTATCGTTGATAACACTCTGTTGTATAATTGAAATTTGCTAAGAGAGTTGAAGTTCTAAATCCTCCTTCCTCCCTACCAAAAAGGTAAGTATATGAGGTGATGGATGGATATGTTAATTAACTTGATGGGGAGAATATTTTCACAGTGCACAGGTATATCAAATCATTATGTTGTGCAGTCTAAATATAATTTAAAAAATAATAGTAAGGCAACTGAGTCTTAGAGGTTGTGACTTTCTCCTGGTCATTAAATCTGGATTTTGAAGTCAGGTCTGAGACTATAATTCATTTGAATTGATTAATTTAATATACTCACTCTTTTTATCAGTTAAGAGTTTTAGTTACAAATGACAGAAATCCAGCTGAAATTAAGCAAAAGTGATTTACTGACTCACTGAATCCAAGGAAGGTTGAATAGCAATCGGAAGAACAGGTTGTGTAGCTGAGCTTGCATCTGAAGCGATTGGAACTAGGAACTCATGGTATCAGACTGCTCTGTTATTTTGGCTTCTCTCTACATGTAGCTTCCATTTTCTCTCACTGTTGATTGGCTTTTTCTACACATCAGGACACCTACATCTACAACAGCTATTGTATCTCATAGCTTTAGGCCCTGGAGAAGAAATGAACAGTTTTGTTTAGGTCTTAAGTTAAAACAAAATTCCAGGGGAAGGACTTATTACTTTGTCTTGGATCTGATGTCCATCCATGGGCCAATCAACTGTGGGGTCAAGTTCACATAGGATCATAGCAATTGTTGATATTCATGTAGTACTTGAGAGAGGGTACAGTTTTCAAGAGAATAGCCAGTAGATGGAGGAAAAGAGTAGGATTGTGTTTGACATACAATTCTATGACTATCCACTACAACTGCTTATGCTTCACTATCTTTAATAGTGAAGAGGTGAAAACAGGCTAAATATCCTTGAGTGGAGCTTGGTCAGTTGTAGTTCATCAACTTAATGGATTATTATGTATCCATTAAAATTGTGACTATGAAGACTGTAGTAATACAGATACGCTTATGATGCTATGCTATTTTAAGTGGGAACAGAATATAACTTATTATATGTAGTGTGTTTGCTACTGTGAAACTTTAAAATGTAGTGGGAGGGATTCAGATTACTCAAACAGAAATGTATGAGGTAATATGGCACAGGATCACTGTGATCCAAAAGTCTAGTCCCTAGCTTTGTAGATCCTGACTCTTGGTTTTGTCAGGGCATCCGGAGCTGATGAGGGACTGATTGATGCTAGCCAAATTCACAAGAAACTAATATATAAATCATAATGCTAGTTTAATAATTTATAGAGAAAATACTTCCAGAGCATTGAGAAGATTCACATTGACTAGTCAGCAGCTTGTCTCCTTCAAGTGGTCTTTATGGGTAGCCAGACAATAATCAGAAGATTGCTCTGTAGTCAGGGAATCAGAACAAAGGATTTAATCAAATTTACTCCTAAGTATTAGAAATAGGAATATGAATCACTCTTAATCTCTGTCCTTAGATCACTCAATTTATATGAAAATACAGGTAGTAAAATAACTATAGAATTTTCTCTGTGTACAGCAGGCAGGTTATTTTATTAGGCTCTACTCCCACTAAAGAAAACTAAAAAATCTGGATAAAATAGAACAAAATGCCTTCTTAAAAGTATGGAATACTTAAGAACAGGTTCCTGAAGATCAGATATTCTACATCACAACCACTAATTAACCTCAACTAATTTCCCAAAATATAACTAAAACACATTAAAATATCTGTATATCAATCACAAAGTATCATGTTAAGATGTAAAATGCTTAAGAACATCTTTCCTGATCACCAGATAGTTAATATGGTTAGTTATAAACAGTTGTTTCATGAGTAATGACATGACAAATACATGAGCTTTTTAAAAAATAGTTTTGTTAAATTCATTTCTTAAATTGAGATATAATTAATGTATAACATTATTTTCAGATGTACAACATGATGATTTGATACTTGTAAATATTACTAAATGACCACCACAATGAATCTGGATAACATCTTTTACCAGACATAGTTAAAAAGATTTTTCTGTGGTTAGAACTTTTAAGATCTACTCTTTTAGCAACTTACATATATGCAATACAGTATTATTAACTATAGTCACTATGTTGTATATTCCATTCCCATGACTTACTATTTTGTAACTGAAAGTTTGTATCTTTGACCCCCTTCACCCATTTTGCCCACTCCCTGCTTCTGTATCTATGAGCTTGGGGTTTTTTTGTTTTTTGTTTGTTTTTCTTCCTCTTTTATATTTCACAAATAGATGAGTTCTTGTGGTATTTGTCTTTCTCTGTCAGACTTATTTCATTTAGCATAATGTCCTCAAGGTCCATCTATGTTGTTACAAGTAGCAGTATTTCCTTTTTTATGACTGAATAATATTCCATTGTGTGTGTATGTATATCACATTTTCTTTATCCATTCATCTGGTAAGACACCTAGGTTGTTTTCATATTTTGGCTATTGTAAGTAATGCTGCAATGAACATGTATGTATATGCATGACTGGCACACTGTGCTGTACACCAGAAACTGACAAATTGTAACTGACTGTTCCCCAAATAAAATAAATAAATAGGTAAATTTTTAAAAATTAAGTAATTAAAAAAAAGAATCAGGGTTTTTCTGGCATTTTGGTTGAATTGCGGTATGTTTATTTTCCCACCTGTTCTCTGGAAGAATTCGTGTAAGATCAGTATTATTTACTTGCTTAAATATTTGGTATAATTCTGTACTGAAGCCATCTGCATCTGGAATCTTTTAGTGTATGCATGTGTATGAATATTTTAAATTGTGGGTTTAATTTTTTTCAGATAGTTACAGGACTTTTCAGATATTTTAAATGTAAATTCATTCAGATAATAGTTATTAATCTACTAACTAAATTGTTTGAATTTTGTTTCACAAAGCTACATTTTGAGCTTTAAAAACTTAATGCTAGATATCATCTAGGGTTTTTTTTAACTAATAAAATATGCATAACATTAAATTTGCCATCTTAGCAATTTTTAAGTGTACAGTTCAGTAGTATTTAAGTACACTCACATTGTTGTGCAACTAGCCTCAACTTTTCATCTTGCAAAACTGAAACTATACTCATTAAGCAATAATTCCTTTTCTCCCTTTTCCCTCAGTCCCTGGCAACCACTCTTCTACTTTGTCTCTATGAATATGATTACTCTAGGTATTATTAAGTGGAATCATACAGTCTTTTTGTGACTGGCTTATTTCACTTAGTATGACCTCCTATGTTATAGCATGTGTCAAAATTTCCTTCCTTTTTAAGGCTGGTTAATAGTCCATTGTATGGATATACCAGATTTCATTTATCTATTCGTGTATCAGTGAACTCTTAGGTTGCTTCCACCTTTTGACTATTGTTAATAGTGCTGTTGTGCATAAATGTATAAATACCTCTTCAATACTCTGCATCAATTCTTTTGGGTATATACCCAGAAGTAGAATTGCTGGATCATGTGATAATTCTATTTTTAATGTTTTGAGGAACCACTCTACTGTTTTCCAAAGCAGCTGTACCATTTTACATTTTATCAACAGAGAACTTTTCAAATTTTATATACTTTCGTATATCAGTAAGCTGTATTTTTGTAGGGATTTGTTTATTTTATCAAACTTTCAGATTTATTAACAAGGTTTGTAATGTCTTCAGTATCTGTAATGATACTTTTTTTTCCTCACTGATATTGGTTACTTATATTGACCTTTTTTCTCCTGTTATAAAAATCAGTGTTGCCTGCAGTTTATCGATTTTATTTGTCTTTTCAAATAATTTATTTTGTGCTTTGTTGACCCTTTTTATTGTATACTGTTTGTTATTTTGTTCATTTGTTTTTATCTTTCTTTAAGTTTACTTTGCTCTTGGTCTCATACTCTCTGGATGTGATTTGTGCTTGCTTATGCTCACGTGGGTTTGTAGGATTGTTCTTTCTACCCCTTCCAAAACAGTGTTCCAGAAGTCCCCAGTTTTTGTTTGTTTGTAGTTTGTTTTAATGAGAAAGGTAAATTGGGATGAAAGAAGTTGGTGTTAGAAATGACGTCTTTCAGCACTAGGCTTTAACCATTATCAGCTGTACTTGACCTACTCTGGTTGACAAGATTATCAAATGCAGCTTGTAACAGTGTTATTCTTTTTTTTTTCCTTCCTTGGCAGGACCCGTTGGGGCCCAGCCCCTACTCATGGTGCCCAGAAGACCTGGCTATGGCACCATGGGCAAACCCATTAAATTGCTGGCTAACTGTTTTCAAGTTGAAATCCCAAAGATTGATGTCTACCTCTATGAGGTAGATATTAAACCAGACAAGTGTCCTAGGAGAGTGAACAGGTAAGAATCTTGAAGTCACAGAGATCTTTTGCTGTTGTCTTCGCTTTAGTAATTATGTTTATCTTATACATCTGAATAAAATGATAATGTCTACCAGTTTGACCAAGAACACATGGTAATTTGCTTTGAAATTGATTATACCTCAGCAGTGTCATGGTGGGAAGAATCTACAAACAACCTTGAAATTTTTCCATTACAACATGAACTCATATGTTTCCTCTGTGATAATAGAAAAGTCATTTTTATATGTTCTTGGAATCAGATTAAACATCTTTTCCCTTGCTGTTAGGTAGTATTTATGTGTGCTTTCTTTTTTCTCCCCAACCTACCCCCACCTTACTGACCCCTTTTATAATGTTCCCTTTAAGAAAATGGTGTTGGTAGCAATGGTGGATAGAGATGGTGGTTGTCATGGTTTCATGCTTTCTTTTCTTATGATCCTCAACTCCTAACTGTTCCTTACTCTTATATAGGAACAGGTATATATGATATATAACATTTTATCAATCTGCTTTCAATAAGCTTCTCTCTCACCTCCCCCAAATACTATATAGTATATATCTATATATAGTATACATAGATATAGATGTGGTTTAGGTGATACAGGGAATAGAAAAGGAATTTATGAGATGCTATACACCGTGGAAGAGGATTTTTTTCTCCCTTGATGGTAGGTTGTTTTTTTTTTTTACATCTTACAGACAAAACATTTAGAAAACAATTATGTTCAACTTAGCATTTTGGTTTATAGTGTCAAATACCCCAGTCTTTTCTTATACAATTAGTATTATTATTAGGACCTTCATTTAAGACAGATTTATTGCTGTCAAGAAACTTGTAATTTAGTAGAAGAGATAAAACACATAAGAAAGTGAAGTGAATGAGCACTTAGAGACTTTGTAATAACAGTGAAAAAAATTTGTAGTATGAATGTTACAATTAGCATGTAGTGCAGTGTTCTTTCTGAGGTCAGGAAGTGAGCTGTGGAGTCTTACAAGTGGAGGAATCTAAGAGATCAACTAATTTGATAACTTTTATATATTTGAAATCGAGAGAGGTTGAGAGGCTTACTCAAGAACACACATTTCTCGTAGCAAAGGTGAGACCAGAACTCCAGAATCCTGACTTGGTAGTCATTAAGAAATACTTGTAAAGCAAGAAGGAAAGGAATTGAGTTAATCTAAACAATTGGTAGAATTGCAGATAGCTGTAGTAAAGAGAACACTTTTTTTTTTTTTTCCAAGATAAGGCTGAAGTAGCAAAGTTACAACAATTGAGAAGAACTAGGTGTAGGGAGAATAAGCCAGGTTCATGGAGGAAGTTCTAGTCAGATACTACAATAAGCTACCATCTATGAATACATGATTTCCTTATCTTGCCGTAGCCTCCACCTCTTTCCTGAGCTTCAGACTGACGCCTGAATTTCCCTAAAGTGCTTCAAACACAAGTCAAAACAACTTACTCTTTCAATCCCCATCCCCAAATTCTGCTCATACTGTTGTATTCTTTTTCTCTACCTAAACTCCCAAACTAGACGTCCTTTTTCCTCCTATTGGTTATCAAGTCCTATTGCTTCTATTTCAGAAATTATTCCCTAATCTGGCCCCTCTCCATTCATACTACTGCCACCTTGGTTTCAGACCCTTTTTTGTTATTTAGACTATTGTAATGATCTTGTAATTGGTCTCCCCAAACATCTTTCTGTTTCCATTCTCACTAAGTATCCACACTTCTGGCATAGTTATCCTTTTAAATCAGATACCTGATTATATCACCCTCCTGCTTTAAAATGTATTCAGCTCCCTATTGCCAAATTTAGTACAGCATATCCTTCTTATTTTGGCTCACACCTGTATCTTTTTCCATATTCTGTAACTCTGGAATGCCCTTTCTCCTCTTACCTCTCTTCCAAACTTCTATTATTTTTGAAGACAAACCTTTTGAACTCCATAGTCAGATGGTAGTTCATTCTACTATGACATTGTAATACTTGGTTGGTGTACGCTTTTGTTATAGTATTTTTAGTGCATTGTGGTTATTTGTTGTTACCCTCTCAATATAACCTCTTCATGAAAAGTAATATTCTTTGTCATCATCTTTGTATCCCTGATCTTAGCTCAATGATTGGCACATAATACATACTCAGTAAAGTGCTTATAAAAATAAAATGGGTTGACACAACATTGTAAAATGATTATAAATCAATAAAAAATGTTAAAATAAAATAAAATGGGTTGAGTGTGATGGTGTGGGATGGGAGAGAGAATTGGACATTATAGAAGGATTCATATGCCTCGATACGGATTTTCAGTACCCTGTGCTTCTCTCCTAGGATCTAGTCTTTGTCTTAATCTTTCTCTTTCATCTATCTTTGTGCTTATAGGGACCAACTATCTCATGCTGCACTTTCAAATTCCCTTTTTCTTGTTTCTCAAAACTAGAGTGTTAATGTGTAAATTTAAATGAAGGATAATCTTGACCTTTTGATAGACGTTTACAGTTTTTTAAAGGCCTTTGTTAACCAAAGGAAATCTCTTAACTGATAGAATGTCTAAGGCAGATGTTTCTTAGCTGAATTCCTTATTGCTACCTCTCTACCTTGCCCTGCCTAAAAAAATCACCCCTAACTTAAGCAGTGGAGTATTACAGGTTATTTATTGAATAGAATTATATGATGAAAATATTATGAAAATGAAATCACTTGAAGATAAAATGAGTTGGAATTCAGGGAATGGTGGGAGGTGAAGGCTTGGGACCTTAGAGGGATGTCAATTGAGGTTTCTGTAGTATTTCAAATGAGTTATGAGGGTCTAGGACAGTGGCAGTAATGTTAGGTAAAAAAGAACAAAATTGTTTATTAGATTTGTTCCTTCTCCTACCTTTTCTTTGGTAGGAGGGTAAGGGAATAATCATGTGTTATATGTGTATATATGATGTTCCATACCATAGAGTTTTGCATGTAGATGCTCAACATGCAGATTAAGTTTGGGGGGGAAAAGTATATGCATTCTGGTTTTAACTTACAGTCCTGTTGACATCCCTAATTGTATTTCATCTTTATGTTGTTTTGTCTTACATTATTTGCCAGTAGAAGTAAAGAATCTGTAATTTAAAGGTTTCCAGGTGGAAATTTTTTAATCATATATCTTTTTTTTAATTAAAGTACAATCAGTTACAATGTGTCAGTTTCTGATCTACAGCACAATGTCCCAGTCATTATCATGTACCTTTTATTTGAGTTTTGATAGGAGCTACAGGACTTCTTTTGGACTCTAAAATTAGCATTAATTGATTTTGTACTTTGTTAATAATATTGACTTGGTTTTAATCAACATACACAAAACTTACTCCCTTTATTTTCTTCAAAAGACTAACTTTTATGCTCATTTTTTGCAGTGTTACATAAGTAGTTAAAATTGTTGGTGGGCTTCTGAAATTGGTTCAGTTCCTGTACTTCAATAACTGGAATTCTAGAAGTTAGAAAAAAACAAAATAGAATTTTGTAATTCCTTTTCAATATTAGCTAAATGGTTATGGGCCAAAATACAACAGTATTTAAGTCAACACATATGAGGCTTCCCTTGTCCATAAGCCACATGCTCAAATACTTGGCAGTATAGCATTAATAATAATAGTAGAATCATGTATTGCAGCCAAACAAGTTTCCACTTTAGTCAGAAGAGTTTTCTTGGACAAAATATCCAGGAAATGCTTGTGAATCATTTTGTGAGTCAGTTTTTCTACTTTAGACTTTCTGTTCATTGCTTTTTTTTGACCTTTCCTCACTTCTTTGGGGACTGTTTGTGTTTCTTTTTTTCCTGTTTAATGATTTGATTGGAAAAAAATCATTAGTTAAAAGAGCATGTTTGTTAAGCAGATTTCAAATGTTTCTCTCTTTTTTTTTTTTTACAAGAGAATGGTCTAAAAATTAAATTTTAGAAATATAACATAGAATATAAATTCTGTAAGTTTATGCTAGTTTGTCCAACTACTAAATATATATATGAGGATAAACCTTGAGCAGACTGTTACATATACTTATTCAAAATCATTAAATTGTGAAATAGATGGGGAAAATTGTGTATACAGCTGGATTATACATGCAAGACCTATTTTCAAAGATTTAAAAGAATCTTGAAGTAGTTGATAGTAGGTTGTGATTGAATTTTTGATGCAGTTTTCTTTTATAAATTAAACATTGTCTTATAGTCATACTATTATGATTACTCTTGTTATTCTATTACAGTTAATGACATAGTGCTGAATATTTGTGCATGTTGCATATGGACGTAATGTAATTCTGATGATTAAATTTTAGAAGGGAAAAAATAAATCTATATTGATACTGTTTGGGCTTTTAAATAGAAATCTCAGATCAAAGTATTTGAAGAACCTCTTCTGCTGTTATTAGGAATATTATTGGCACAGTGTTATAACAGGATAGTATGCCAAGAGAGGGACATTCTTTTTTAAGTAACAGTTTTATTGATGTAAAATTCACATACAACACAGTTCACTCATTTCAAGTGTACAATTCAGTGGTGTTTAGTGTGTTCACAGATACTACAGCTATCACCAAAATCTAATTTTAGAACATTTTCTCCTTTCCAAAAGAAATCCCATACTCTCCATAACAGTCACTCTCCATTGCCTCCCTCCCTGCAGCCCCTGCCCGACACTAATCTATTTTCTATCTCCATAGATTTGCCTTTTCTGAACATATCAATATAAATGGAATCATACATTCTAAGTTATTACAAGATAATGCCAAAAATTTCCTGTGCTATATTGTATATCCTTGTTGCTTATTTATTTTATACATAGTAGTTTGTATCTGTTAATGCTATAGCCCTAATTTGTCCTTCCCCACTTCCCTCTCCCCTTTGGTAACCACAGGTTTGTTTCTATATCTGTGCATCTGTTTCTGTTTTGCATATACATTCATTTTGTGTTATTTTTAAGATTCCACATATAAGTGATATCATACAGTGTTTGTCTTTCTCTGACGTATTTCACTAAGCGTAATATTCTCTAGGTCCATCCATGTTGCTGCAAGTGTCAGAATCTCATTCTTTTTAATGGCTGAGTAATATTCCATTGTGTGTTGGGGGTGTACCACATCTTTATCCATTTGTCTGTTGATGGACGATTGGGTTGCTTTCATGTCTTGGCTATTGCAAATAGTGCTGTTGTGAACACTGGGGTGCTTGTATCTTTTCAAATTAGTATTTGGTACTTACTTTTTAAAATTAGAGTTAGTGTATTGTAAGACTTAACTAACAGCAGTGGCAGTGGTGATGATGGGAGGATGTAGATAGAAGATTTAAAAGAAGAATGAACAATTTAGGTGTGTGAGGGAAAGGGAAGAGATAAGAATGGCTTCATAGTTCCTTGCTTGTGCATTGTTGATGGCTTTAACAGAAATACAGATTATAAAAGGGCCCAGTTTCTTACTTTCTTTTTTGGATATTTGGAGGTTAAAATGTGTAAGAAACATCAAAATGAAGAAGTTCAATAGATTTTTGGAAATAAGTGCCTAGAGCTCAGGAAATAAGATGGAGATTGAGGTTTGAGATGTATCAGCATATAAGTGATAGTTAAAATCTAGGGGAAGTGTGTATAGTTTAGGTAAGAAGACTGAGAACAGATCTGGGGATACTGTTGTTTCAGCCTTCCCAGTGAAGACACTGAGAGATTGCAAAGGTAGGAGAACCAGAACAAAGTAAGTAGAAGCTATTTGAGAGAAAGCAAGAAAGGATCATGATTTTCAAGGATAAATCACAGTGGCAAATGCTAAAAGAAGCCAGGAGTTTAAAGGCTGAAAAGAGACCATGCCTATTAAGAAGTCAGTGGTGGCCTGAGGGAGAAGTGTTCTAGAGGAGAATTGTTAGTGTAAGCCAGATTAAGTTAAAAATTTATTTCTTAACCTAAAGTAATCTATCACTTGTTTGTGAATACTAGAAATGTTTACTAGATTAGCTTGTGTGGTTATATAAGATTATGAAAGAATTCACACCCATGTGAATTGGCAATGAAGATAGTTTATAGTAAAATGCTCTGGTGTACTACAAATTTTATAAAGTACTAAAGTTTAAATCTAAAATGTAACTTCTTTCTTCTCTACTCTACATCTTTAAACTATGTTGATGCAAAAGTACATATTGGCTACCTTCTCTGTTACTTTGTAAAGAATTTGAAGATAAATCAGAGGTTGGAAGGGTACTAGGAGATGCTGCCAGTTGTTAGTTGTGTTTTATAAACCTCTGGGCTATTTTACTATCTTGTTATACTTTAGCAATCTTCCTTCATTCTGTCTGTACTATAATGACAGATGAATTTATTGTAGCTGGGAATACTAAACTAAGGTGAATATTTTCCACTTTTAGAGGAAAATATTACTTCATGTCTTCTCCTAAAGACTAAAGTAACATTTCCCATTCTACCTTTTGGGAGCAGAGAATTAAGAGGTACCTAAAAATGAGATGAAGATGGGTCTCTATGAGCTTATAATAACAATTAACCAGGAAAATAATTTCTTCTCCTGTTTACATTGAAGTTTCCCTCTTTTACCACTTTTCTTCTGTATGAGTTAGATGGTAAATTGGAACTTACTGAAACCAATATTAAATTTTACTTTACAGTCTGTGCACCAGAGCATGATGGAGTCAAAAGTCTTGGTACCAGAATGTAGGAAGTGGTGGTTGAGGTAAGAGTGGGAAGGTAGGCTGTAGCCCTTTTTTAAGACCTAACATACTCAGGTAGGCTCTTCCATTTTTTTAGTAATCGCCAGATATTCTTAAGGATTTTTAAATTCTATATTGAGGTTCTACAAAAATGCATCGTATTATTCTCTACGAGAATTGTTCCCTCCTCAGACTAAGGTTATTAGTAGAAGGAAGCCACTAAAGATTAGTTAGAAGTTTTCATCCCCATTTACTCAGATTTTCTTTTTCAAACTTTTCCGCTAAGTACTGCTTTAGAAGTTAAAATATTTTATGTATTTTGGTTATTATAGCTTCACTTTTTATCATAAGCTAAGAAGCTAGCGTAACAGTGTACACATAAAATATTGTCCTGAAATTTCTACATCTGAACAGAAGATCAAAGGATCCCCCCATCGTTATAATAAAAGACTACCAGTGCTCCACAATTACAATATAGAGAAAATCTCATTCACAGTTTCTGTTAATTATCAGACATTGTTCTTTGTATTAATTTACTATATTTGATGCTAATGCATTATAATGTGTTCTTTTGTTACCTGAAAGACTTCAGTACTTCAATATAATTCTTAAAGTATTTTTGAGATAATTGTGCTTAAATTTTTTATAAAAATAGTATCATATTTACTTTTTTTTCCTCAGAGTACTTTCACTAATATCCCACATGGTTCCTGTAACAGCCCTTTTTATCATTTTTTTTGATAAAGGAACTAAATTCAGAGAGATCAAGTAAGCTTCCTAACAATTTAATGGCAGAGTGGTACTGAAAACTGGTGTCTACCTATTTTTTCTCTGGTACATATGTTACCACATATTTTAAAGGTTTTCACATTGGCAGTTTCCCAATTCAAACTTTCTTCATAATACACTGAATACCTTTGCTGCTATAGATCACTAGATAAATTACTATATTAGAGAGTTTTTCCTCTAGTTTCACATGCCTGCCTGATGAACATTCTAATAAATTACACTTTGCCACAGTATCTTTTGAGATAAAAAATGAAAATTTGCAATTCCTGGATTTGTTACTTTGTTAAGTTGCATACTAAAATTACATTAAAAGTCTAAATATATCATTTAATTACATCATATTAGAGGTTAAAGTGAAGAGTCATGATAATAAATGATGGTCCCATAAAAGCTGATTCCCTTTGAAGCATAGATTTTAGCAGTTATGAACTTAAAAGTAGTTTAACGTTAAAATTGCCCAATGTATATAGAATTCTAATACCATTCTGTTAATGCTGTAAAGCCTTAAGTTAAAACCAGCATTTAGTTAAATTATTCATAAAGGAGTTTCTATATCTGATGCCATGATCAAATCTTCAGTTTCATTATTTGATATTCTCTTCACTAAATTTTACTATTAGAGGGATTATAGACATTATTCACTTCAATCTCCTAGTTGGTATCTTCCCTGACATAACTACTCTTTGAACAGTTCTAGCAAGGATGAACTCAGGTACTTCATGAGATAGTGTAATCCACTTGTGAATAACCTGGTGGTTAGAAAATGTTGGAAGTTTTTGTTCCAAAATCTGGCTCCTTATATTTTTCCAACTATTTGTCTTAATTCTATCTTTCCATACAAGGTAGACTTTCTACTCAGTTTTTCACGTGAGGATCTATCAAAATAGCTGAAGACTTCCATAATTTCCTTTGAGTCTTTCCTATTCTAGACTAAAATTCCTTACTTTGATTTATTTTTACTCATAAGGGTTTCTATCAGGATTACTTTCTTCTGGTTATGTTTCATTTTTTAGAGTCTTAAGTTTTTTCCAAATTGAACAGAGTACTACAGAATTTGAAATGACCTGTGTAATATATGATGGGATGGTTACTGGCCTTCTACTGGGTATTTAAATATATGCAACTGAGTTCTTTAGTTTTGAGGAAGCTACATCACACTATTAGTTCATTCTGGATTTATAGTCACGTAAAGCTCCTTTCCATAAGAGCAGTGGATAAGTTCAGGTCCTCTAATTTGTTCTTACTGCAGTTGAACTTGTGTTTAGACTTTACAGTTACCCTTATTATATTTTATCTTCATTTAGTTTATTGTTGTAGTTTGTCAGTAGCTTTTAACATACTAATTTTTTTTAGCATAATAGCCATGTGTCTCAAGTATGTATCATTTGAGGGTTTCTTAACCAACAGATATTTTTAAAATTATTTACTGTATGTAGGACACTAAATATGTTTCTTTTGCTTACGGTATTTATAGTTTTTTGTGTGTAGGGGGAGGAGGACTTCAGAAATTTATTCTGAATAAAAGTTTCCATGAATATCTAAGTTAACTTAGAAAAAGAAAAGGAACTTGTCCTGCCCCAAATTACAACATAATAAAACACTCTAGTAATCATGAAAACATGTGCTGCTGCTCCAAGAACAGACAAGTAGACAATATAGAGAACTCAGATCAGAACTTAAAAAGATAAAACTAGCATTACAAATTGATTGGTTAAGTATAGACTGTTTAGTAGACCGTGTGGGAGAACTGGCTCACTAAATGGAGAAAAATGAAATTGAGTTCTTATACAATTCTGCTTATAAAAAAGAACCTCACATGGATTAATGACCAACATATATAGATAAAATAAAATTAATAAAGCATAATACATCCTTGTGACTTCGTATTAGGAAACTATTTCTTAAAACCTCAGAAACATGAGACCGTAAGATGAAAAAATTATTATTTTGATGATACAATATTGAGGATTTATTGTTAACAGGCAGATAACATTTGTGGGGAAGATATTTGCAATAATTAAACCTGTTAGTGAATTAGTATTGAAATATCAAAGAAACTTCTTCAATTCAACAAGAAGACTGGGACCAGAGTGAAAAAAAATGAGCAATGGAAATAAACAAGGAATTCACAAAAGAAGAAATGCAGACACGTGAAGGGATGCTCACATTCATTAGTAATAAGAGAAATCTAAATAAACCAAGATTTTAGTTTTATCCACTAGACTAGCAAAAATTAGAAAGCAAAGCCAGATAATGCCAACTCTTGTCTGGGATGTAGGGAAATAGGAACCTCCAGGAGCATGGTTTAGTATAGCCATTCTGGAGAGCAGTTTGGCAGTTCTTCATCATTTTGTTGATAAAATTCATTTGGACCTAGTGGTTCTGTTCCTGGGTATATATATGTATAGCCAGAGATTAATTCTTACACAAGTTCATAAGGGGACATAGAAGGATATATTGCATTGCAGCATTGTTTTGGTGGCTGACAATAAAAGATACTCTGAGTCTGTATTGCTGGGAGAGTAGATGGACAACATGAGGAGTACTTCGCATTGGTCAGAAGCAATGAACTAAGTGTACCACAGCAACATGAATAGATTTTGAAAACCTAGTGCAGAGGGTAAAGTGAGGAATATGTACAAATAGAAGGATCACCAAACACATTAGAAAAAAATAACTTATTGGGAAAGAGAACAGGAGTATGGAATGAATATGGAAGGAAAGAAATCAATTAGTTAAAAGAGGGGTCTTATACAGATGAATGATGATAATGTGGCATGAACTGAGGAGTGTGATTAACTTAACCTTTTGTACCTGGGGAATGAAAGTGGGGTTTGGAGATTCATTTGACAGTGGTTTGTAAGTTGGGCCAGAGAAGAAAAAATTAAAGGCATAAAAAACAAGAAACTTAAGATAATCCACATACTAGGGCATGAAGTTTTAATTTAAGATGGTAGTAGATGGGAATCGAAAGTAAAAGACTGGTGCAAAAAATAGTGCAGAGAGGTGAAGTCGACAACTAAGTGGATGAAGAGTGATCCAGATTTTGAATCTGGGTAAGTGGGAAAATTGAGGCATCAATAATTAAAGAGAAGTACTAAACAGAAGGATAACCAGATCGAATTTGGGGGAGATATGTTGAATTCAGCTTTAGATAAAGTCCTTTGGAGGCTCTATCAGATCATTGAGGTAGATTATCTACTGTTAAGAACATTAAGAATATACTGTGTGCTAGGCATCAAAGCAGAACAATTTTTTATCTGTAAGATGTTTTGAAACTCTCTACTATTTTGATCTCTTCTACCATTTTGATCCTTAGAGTGGTTTGATTGGGTTGCCAGGATTTGATAAGCTTAAAATTATATACCAATTTACTGCTGAGTAATAAGTGACAAAGCAGTCAAAACATCCTGACAAATTAGATCTGTAAAATCTCACCTGAGAAACCAGAATTGATGATAAATCGCAAAAGAAAACTTAAAATGGCAGAATATCTTTGAAATTTTGTTTTGTACTCAAAAACTGATCAGTGAATCAAATCCTCATTGTAATATTTACTCTAGAAAAGACTTGATCTTCATTTAAATAGTTTAAGCAAAATAAAATTGAAGGGAGGGGAGATAGAAACTTTGAGCATTTGGAAATTTCTCTGGGTATCAAATAAGCTTAATTATTTTGTTCCAGAAAATGCTGTTTTGTCTTCTTTCCCTTCTACTTGACTGGGCTAGAATTGAATCCCCCCCCCATTCTTTAAATTATATTGTTTTATAACTTATACCAGTACTATGTGAACATACTGCCATTGTATTTAGATTGTATAAACAAAATAAAAAATCATTCTCTCCACTTCTCTCTCCAGAGGTAACTAACCACTGTATCTATTTGGTACATATCCTTCTAGATATCTTTCTACTGCTTTTACAAATTATGTGTACATAAAAATAAATATTTGTGGATATTTAATATTATTCTGTCTATAGTCTGTAATTTTTTTAAATGTCTAAGCCTTGAATATTTTTCCATGTAAATACATCGGATAAGAATTTTAGTTTGCTGGATAAAAACAGAAGTTTCAAAATATCCTTACTGACTAGAAACTATTGGAAGAATGGGGGGTGGGGGTACAGGTGTGTTTATTGCCCTCAGAAATCTCACAGTCTAGTAGAAGTGAGGTGTATAATAATTATAATACAGTAAAGTAAGAGTTTTAATAGATATTTGTATTAGGCACTATTAATAGATATATATATTAGGAAAGAGCATCAAGCTCTTTGATAAAGAGAGGTGAATGTGTCAGGTAGTGCTTAGCGATGGTGAAAGAGATTTTGGATCAATTTCTGAGGATAATATTTTGCAGGTCAGCTGTATCCCAGAATGATTAAGTAATTCCCTGGATTCATTCTTCTTTCTTTTGTGAAATTCACACCATCTCTTGCCAGAAATTAATCTTTCTGGTTTCCTAAGCCATGCTCCTGAAAGCAAAATTTTAATCATGTATGATTATCTTTTAGAATTTTGGTAGTTTTAAGTAGTATAAGAAATTACTTTAGTTAAGATTTTTGTATTTCATCATGCAGAGGATCATGTGAATGCATTTTTTTCCCCTTTTTTAGGGAGGTGGTTGACTCAATGGTTCAGCATTTTAAAGTAACTATATTTGGGGACCGTAGACCAGTTTATGATGGAAAAAGAAGCCTTTACACAGCCAATCCACTTCCTGTGGCCACTACTGGGGTAAGATATGCATTCCTTTATTGGAAAGCTATACTTTTGCAATGTCTTTTAAATACATTTATTACCATTTTATATATAGACTCTATATGGATTATTTATGTATTTTAGCTTTTTGTTTTGAAATAATTTCAAACTTGAAAAAAAGTTGTAAGAATCATGCAAAGAATTCCTGTATACCAGATTCACCAGTGTTGTTAAAGTTTGCCACATTTGTTTTATCATTTTTTCTTTTCTCCTTTCCTTTCTCTTTGTATCTATAGAGACAGCTGTATACAGAGATACACATATATACTTATTTTTTTCTGAAACATTCAAGAGTAAGTTTCATACATCATGCCCTTTAATGTGTTTTTCTTCAGAACAAGGATAATAAATGATAGTAGAATGATCAACTTTCCTAAATTTTACACTGATATAATATTATTGTCTAATCTACTCCTATTCCAGTTTTGTCATTTGTTCCCGTGATGTCCTTTAGCATTTTTTTTTTTCCCTTCAGTACAGAATCCAGTCTGGGTTCCTGAATGTATTTAGATGTCCTGACTTTTTAGTCATCTTTATTCTGAAACAATTCCCGACCTTTTTTATTTTCTTTAATGACATTAACATGGTTAAAAATTACAGACACGTTATTTTGTAGGCTATCCCTCTGGGTTTTTCTAGTGCTTCCTCTTGATTAGATTCTGATTAAGCATTTTTGGCAGGAATATTACACAGTTCTTTCATTAATAGTACATCATATCAGGAGGCACATAATACGTATTTTTTCCATTAATGGTAATGTTAACTTTGATCACTTGATTAAGTTGATATCTGTCAGACTTCTCTTGTGAATTTTTTTTTTTCTTTGTGGGGATATGGAGATAGTTTTTTGTTTTTGTTTTTTTTTAATTGTGATAAAATACACATTACACAAAATTTACCATCTGAGCCATTTTAAGGTACGGTTCTGTGGCATTAAGTACATTCACAGCCATCAATACCATCCATCTGCATCTTATAAAACTGAAGCTCTGTATCCATGGAACACTTAACTCCCCATTTTCCCTCCCCTCAGCCCCTAGCAACAACCATTCTACTTTCTGTCTCTGAATTTGGCCTTTGTCAGTGCCTCTTATGAGTGGAATCATACAGTATTTGTGATTGACTTATTTTACTTAGAATAATACCTTCAGCATTCATCCATGTTGTCATGTGTCAGAATTTCTTCCCTTTTTAAGGCTGAATAATATTCCATTGTATATATGTACTACATTTTACTTATCCATTCATCTGTTGGTGGACACTTGGGTTGCTTCCTCATTTGAACATGTGTTTACTCTAGGGACCTCATGTAAGTGGATCTATACAATATTTGCCCTTTTGTGACTGGCTTATTTTACTTAACATAATGTCCTCAAGGTTGTTGCATGGGTCAAAATTTCCTTCCTTTTTAAGGCTGAATAATATTCCATTGAATGTATATACCACATTTTGTTTATCCTTTCATCCATTGATGGACACCTTTTGGCTGCTGCAAATAATGCTGCTATGAACATGAATGTACAAGTATTTCTTCTAGTTCTTGCTTTCAGTTCTTCTGTGTATATACCCAGAAGTAGAGTTGCTGGATCGTATAAATGGTAATTCTTTTTTTAGTGTTTTAGGAAATGACCATACTGTCTTCCACAATGACTGTACCATTTTACATTCCCACCAACAGTGCAAATGTCCCACATACTCCACACCCTTGCCAAAATTTGTTGTTTTCAGGTTTTTTTGATAATTGTCATCCTAATGGGTATGAGGTAATGTCTCATTGTAGTTTTTGATTTGCATTTGCATAATGATAGTGATGTTGAGCATCTTTTCATGTGCTTATGGGCCCTTTATGTATCTGTTTTCGAGAAATGTGTATTCAAGTCTTTCGCCCATTTTTTAATTGGGTTGTTTGGTTTTTGCTTTTGTTGTTGAATTTTAGGAATTCTTTATATATTCTTATCAGATATATGTTTTGAAATACTTTCTCACATTCCATAGGTTGCCTTTTCACTTTGTTAATTCTATCCTTTGAGGCATGGAAGTTTTAAATTTTTATATGAGAGATACTTTTAAGGATCCTGTTTCTCATTAGACTTTTTTAGTAATTGATGATTTTTGCTTGAAAGGATTACTGCTGTGTAGTAATGGTGATTTTCTACTTCTGTCATTCCTTCTATATTAATAGTTGGTATTCTCCTGTAAAAGCATTTTATTCTCTGTTTATCCTTATTTACTTGCCCAAATCATCCCAGATTTGGCCTGTGGGAGCCCCTTTAAGCCGTTCCTGTGTCCTTTTGACATGACACATCTTTTTTTTTGATTATTTCCTCACTTTTGGGCATAAGATGTTCCAGGTTCATCTTGTTTTCCCTGCTGCAGTCCTGCAACTAGCCATCTCTCAAAGGTACACTGATTTCTTTTAGTTTGGGAATACAATTTAGAACCCAAAATCTGGGTACTGGATATGCTCATTGCTACTAAGGTATGTGTGCATCTAAGCCCTTTCAATGGATGGAGGTAGAAAATATAAATATATAAATAAGTAAATAAGTAAAACCCATAATAAATAATAAATAAGTATTACATTCATATAATAAACCTAACATGTATCCTGCAAATATCACTTATTGTATGCAGTATGTTTATTGGAAATCATGAGTTCAAACTAATTCTTCCAGTTCCAGTCTAGCCCCACTGGATTCTTTACTCTCTACATTGCATATTTGTATTTTCCTTCTTCTTTAAACCCCTGCCTCCTCAAAACATCACTTTTACTTATTTGTTTAATCCTATAGTACATATACAATAGTTTCTAAATTACTACACTGTATCAGTACAGAAAACAAACCTGGGGTAGTAAAAGTTCCAGGTTTTATTTTGTGTGCAGTTCTTCCCCAGCCACACCCCTCCTCCACACCCTTAACCAAGAGTATAGTCAATATACTATGTTCAGGAGTTACCTGCATTAGAGTTTTCTTATCTCTTCTTTTTTTTTAAAATATTCTTTTAATGTGGTTATGTTGTTTGAAATGCATTTGGTTTCATTTGATTTTGTTTCAGTTTTAGTTTTTTCCCTCCATTTTTGTTGATCTTATTTTTTTTAATGTTATAGAACTTAATGTGCTTCCAGAAGTCAAAACTATTCTGAAAAACATACCCAGAATTGCTAGTCCCTCCTTTATTTCTTCCAGTTTGTTCCTTCCTATCCTTTGAAAATAACTAATTTTTTTGTTTCTGATTCATGCTTCCCTTATTTCTTTTTACAAAAATAAGCAGATATATAAATATTTTTCCATTTTCCCCTTTCTCACATGAAAGATGGCATACTATTTGTGATCTTGTGTACTTGCTTTTTTCACGTAACAGTATAGATTGGAAATTATTCCTTAGCATTTCCAACAGCTCTTCCTCATCCTTTTTTTTTATAGCTGCCATTGCGGTGACAAAGAATGCTGGCATCAATAACTTGCCATTGGGATTGTTTCTTACATTTGCTTTTTCTCTCAAACATTTTTATAAGTTAAACTTAAAAATAATTGTATTTATCTTTTTAAACTTTTACCAGTTGACTCTTTTCCCATCAATAGGTAGATTTAGATGTTACTTTACCTGGGGAAGGCGGAAAAGATCGACCTTTCAAAGTATCAATCAAATTTGTCTCTCGAGTGAGTTGGCACCTACTACATGAAGTACTGACAGGACGGACCTTACCGGAGCCACTGGAATTAGACAAGCCAATCAGCACTAATCCTGTTCATGCCGTTGATGTGGTGCTACGACATCTGCCCTCCATGAAGTGGGTGCTTCTGGATTTTTGTCCTCTTTAGATTTTACATGTGAAAGCTTTCTTCCCAAGAGTGAGTTATATAGGCTTCCTTTGGTTAACCTTTAGATGTTGTGTATTTTGATGATTTCAGTTGAAGAATAGCACACATACAAGTTCATTGACAAAAGTAAGTTACAGAAAATTCTCTGACTTGTGAAAGTAAATGAACATCATTAGCGTAGCTATTCTAATGGGTATTTTTTCAGAAAAAAAAATGTCTAACCCTTTCTCTTAGGAGCTATAAATCTTGAATAACTGATACATCTTTAGTTTTAGTGTTTTAGTTAAATCACTTTGTTTTAAAAGTAACTTCATTTTTTATATAATAGTATCAGATTGTGTTGAAATTGTTACTCTTCTGATCACACTGGGTCTCACATATGTATATCTGTGTGTATATATATATATATAGGATCAGTGTGTCTTTTCAAAAGAAAAATAATGTGTCTTATAAACACACAGAAGTAGCTTTTTGATCAATGATTTTTTATTCAGCATTTTCTAAGGTTGGAACTATTTTTTAAAGCTATTTTCAATAAAGTGTTTTAAATTAAAGTTATTCTTAGTCAAACTAATGTTAGTTTTAAGAATAGAGAATTTCAGTGAAGGATGCTGTTTTTTCATTTTGAGTAGCTACTTTTTGCTTTCACAAATTTGGAAGATGTTTAGTTTCATATATTCATAATGGTAGGCAGCATTATGATAAGTTAAGGTTATGTGCTCCACACTCACCTGTTCTGCAGACTTAAACACTTGATGGGAAGGAAAAGATTGAACATGCCATTTTAATTTTTGTAGATATACACCTGTGGGACGTTCCTTTTTCTCAGCTCCAGAAGGATATGACCACCCTCTGGGAGGGGGCAGGGAAGTTTGGTTCGGATTCCATCAATCCGTTCGGCCGGCCATGTGGAAAATGATGCTTAATATTGATGGTAAGGGAATTAAAACCATAATCTGTGTTGAGTATTGAAATCTATATGGCCTCTGTATGTATTTGTGTGTATGTGTGTGTGTGTGTGTGTGCGTGCATTTTATATATAATTATACTTACTAGTGTGTTGAAGTAATATTTGGACATAAAACAAACTGAAAAAAACTTTATTTTTTATTACATTTTATTTAGAAAGCCTTTACACAGAACTTTCCCTAGAATGCTACTAAATAAGCATGAAGTAAGCACATGAAAACAAATATAAACGCTTTGACATAATCATCTCAGAAATTGTAGTTCATTTTTGTCCTTAACTGTAAGTCAGGATTTCATTATGTAATACATATTTTAAAGGAAGAGTAGTCTGTCGTTCGTGATCACCCCAAGTAATCTTCGCATTTTAGGTGTTTTTCGAGAATATTTTTGAACATATATAAAAGTAGAGAGAATAGTATGATAAACTGCTACCTATGTTGCCATTATCCAGGTTGTCAGAGTTTTTCTGCCTTTGCTTAAACTGTCTACATTTCTTCCTCTACTGTAGTATTTTTAAAGCAAATCCAGACAGCGTGTTATTTTGTCCCTGCTACAGCATGCACCTGAAAAATTATGGGTGTTTTCTTATATAGTCATAGTGCCATTATCATATGGAAAAAAAAGTTTAAATAATTATGTATTTGTAGCCTCTAATTCCCTATCCAAAATTAGATTTCCCTGATTGTCTCAAATATGTCTTTCTATAGTTTCTAGTTAGGATCTAAATAAGATTTACACATCACATTTGGCTATTATGCCTTTTTAAAATGTAGTAGCACTATTTCCTTCTCTCTGCTGTTACTTTGTTTTTCCTTTTTTTTTTAATGCCATTGACTTGTAACAGAAACTCTTCGGCTTTTCCTATAGAATATCCAGAAATCTGGATTTATCTTTTGTTTTCTTATGGTGTCATTACCTTGTTCCTCTCTTCCCTGTATTTCCTGAAAATGAAAGTTGGCCCTAGAAGCTTGATTCAATTCTGATTCATAAGTGCTCCATATTGTATCATATTAGGGGCACACAGTATATAGTGGTCCTAACTGTAGTGATACTAAATTTGATCAATATGTTCAGAGATCAATAGGCCTGATCTCTCCGTTGTAAATTTCCTAGTCTTTCAATTACTAATACTGCATTCATTGATCATTGTTACCTGAACTATTTATTTTACTAGGAATTACCAACTGGTATTTTTTCTAATTCTGTTATCCTTTTTCATTAGATGGAATTCTTTTGAGGAAAATCACATTTTCTTGTTGATAATTCATTAGTCTTTGATAGCTTTCTTGCTTTCTGGCACAGCAGAATGTTCCAGATTCAACTTTATGTCCTCCCCTGGAATCAGCCATTCCTCCAAGGATCCCTGAATCTTTCTAGAACAGTATATAGTTTCATCATTATTTTCAGCTGCATCTACCATTGTGGGGATATGTCATCAAGAGGATTTATTTTTAAAGTCATCTTTAGATATATATACTAGGGCTGTTTTTAATCATTTGCCATTTAAGAACATCATTTCATATATATGTAGGTGTACCTTTAAGATAGATTCCAGGAGGTAAGATTGGTCAGCCAAGGGCAGATGTGTTTTGATTGTTATTGCCAGGTTGCCCTCCAGTGAGGTTGTAAACATTTTGCATTAGTAAATGAGACTGCCTGTTTCCCTATACTTTGCCCCTAGAGGTGTCAAACTCTAGATTTTTGACAGTCAAATTTGCAATAAATAGTTTTCTTATGTACTGTTATTTTTCATTTGGCCATCTTTTCACGTATGTAAGGCCCCCCTTATTTCTTTTTTTATTACTGTTAATGCCCTTCCTTTTTTCTGTTGGATTTTTGGTCTTATTTACTGAAAGAGCTGTCTACATTAAGTAGATTAGCCTGTGGTGATATGATTTGCAGGCATTATCCCTAGGTTATTATTTGTCTTTTGATATTTGGTACTGTTTTGTTTTTTGTAGAAATTTGTCTGTTGTGGGGTTGGGATGTGTCAATCAGTCCCTTCTTTTATAATTTTTAATATCTGATAGGGCTAGTCTAATTTTTCTCTTCAGGGTTTTCTAGGCCATTCTTACTTATTGTGCCATATAAGCTTTAGAAACACCTGGTCTAGATCTAGTGAATGTGAGAGGATGGGCTGTTACCTTTATTGTGATTCATTATATTTTTAAATTAACTTATTGAGTCTTTCTGTCCAAGAAAATACTATGCCTTTTCATCTGTTCAGGATTACTTTTGTTTCCTTCAGGAGTGTTTTAAAATTTTTCTCACATAAAATTTGCACATTTCTTGTTGTCATTCCTAGGTATTTTCACTCTCTCTCTCTCTCTCTCTCTCTCTCTCTCTTTTTTCCTCTCTGACTTACTGAATTCCATTGGCTTTTCAAGTGATTTCCTTGGACTTTCTAGGTTATAATTATTTAATCTACAGATAGTGATAGGTTTACCTCTTCCTTTGAATTTTTATACTTCTAATGTTCTTAATCATAATATTGACTGATTAGATAGGACAGTATTAAACTTTAGTTATCAGTGGGCATCCTCTTTTTATTCCTTAGTTTAGAAAGAATTCTTCCAGTGTTTCTGCTTTAAGTATGAGGCATGCATACATGTATATATATGTATAGGAGTGTGTGTTGGTTCCTATTTTATTGAGTACTTTTAATCAAGAATGGATGTTGAATTTTGTCAGATGTCTTTTTAGTATCTATGGAACTAATAAAATATTTCTCTTCTTTTTAACAAACTTTGAACTAAACTTGGGTTTTTGGATTCTGTTAATGTGATGCCAGATTTCTTTTTGTTAATACTATACCTTTTTATTCAAAATGCAAAAAAGTAAGATTGATCTGATCTGCAGTCTTCTCTTTTTTTGTGCAGTCTTTTTCAAGTTTTGGTATTAATGTTTTATTTCATAAAGAACTTAGAAGTTTTCCATTTTCTAAAATGTACAACAGTTTTAAAATAGTACTGAAATTATCAGCTCTTCTAAGATTTGGTCGAATTTCCCTTTAAAATCTTGTGGCCTGGTTTGTTTTGTTTTGTTTGATTGATAGTTCTTTTAAAACTTTCATTTATTTTGTGAAAATCTGTCTGTTTAGGCTCTCTGGGTTCAGTTTCAGTACATTGTATCTTACTAGAAAATTATCTGTTTTATCTATATCTGATAATTTTTATAAAGTAGTGTCTTATTTTTAAAATTTTCTCTGTTTCTATGGTTTACCCCATTTATTTGTTTAATGTTTGTGTTTTGTCCTTTTTGCTGTTGATTAGAAGAGGTAGTAGTTTAATCAACTGAGTTTTGGGGTTTTTTTTCTGCTTCTAGCCAAAGAGCTTTTGAAATTTTTTCTTAGTTCTCTGATTTTCTGTTTTCTCACGCCTTAATTTCTATTTTAAGCTTTATAAATTTTTTCTTCTACTTTTCTTCAGTTAATTTAGTTGTGTTTCCTAACTTTTTGAACTATATTAGTAATTCATTTACTTCAATTTTTTTAATTGAAAAACATGTTTAAAACAATGAATTTTCTTCTGATCACTGTTTTAGCTATGTTCCAAAGCTTCTAATATGTAGTTTTTATTACATTCTAGAAAGACCACAAATTTTACTTATTTCCCCTGTTATCCAAATGTTGTTTGAGAAACTTTTGTAATTTTCAGATTGAAGATCTTTTTGTTTTCTGATTCTATTATAAGTTTCTAGTTTCATTGTGTTGTTAGAGAATGTGCTTTGTATTTCTACTTTTAGAATTTGTTGAGACTTTTTTTTTATAGCCTAATATGCAGTCACTTTTTGTGAAATTTCAATAGCTATTTGAAAGTAAGGTATATTCAATTACTAGGGTACAGTTAAATGAATATCAATCAGCACTTCCATTTTTATTATATTGTTTAGGTCATTTATTTCCTTGTTTATTTTAGTTTACTTGTCTCAGAATGGGAGAAATAAATTTAAACATCCTATTGTTTTTCTGTCTCTTTCTCCTTATATTTCCTGTAATTTCTGCTTTCTTAATGTTGCTGCTATATTATTGGGAGCATATGTTTACCTGTCTGTTTTCTTCATTGTGAATTGTACTCTTTACAATGATAAAGTGATTTTTTGTTTTGTTTTGGGCCAGAAGTCTACATTGTCTTACAAAATGCTCCACCTAACAAAATGCTCCAATCCATGTGGTTTGTTTTCTGTGCTTTTTATAAAAGCTAATTCTGATATTATGAAGGTTTTTTCCCTACCAGTAGTTACTTTTATACCATATGATATAATACTAATCTTTCTCTCTCTTTAAAGCAGTGTCTTTGGCTTTCCTTAATGAGAGACAATTAGATTAGCTTTATTATCTTCCTGCCCTTCTTCCGTCCCTCTCCTTTATTAACTAGTTTTAGCCAATATAGCATTATTTTATTGTTCTTTATAATTTTGCTTAAATTTTTACTACCTGACTTTCAACTTTGACTCCTATTACTATATGTGCAGTGAGTTATTCTACTTTTTATGTTTTTTCTGTCATCCATTTATTTGTACATAGTGCTATTCCTGTGTTTTTTGAGCATGTAACAGTTACTTTCCATGCTGTCACCTGTATGTTCATTTTTTTTTTATCTTAAATCTCCAATTATATGTATCAGTGCTGGCTTAAAGTCCTTTTACTGAAATTTTTTGTGTCATCTCTTGGATGTATTTTGTCCTCAAGTTGTTACTTCAGGAAGGGCTCAAATAGTAAGAGTTGAGTTTTTGTGTATTGAAAACCACTTGTTTATAGGCTTGTTCCTGAAGGGCTGCTTGGCTAGACATAAAATTATTGGCTCACACTTTCTTGAGTTTCCCATTAGATATTTTTCCACTGTCTTCTGACAATCAATGTTCAGTAGAGAAGTATCATGTCAGTTCGAGGGTTTTTTTCCTTAGAAGGGGCCTGGTTTTTTGTTTTATTTTGTTTTTTTGTCTGGTTACTGAAAGTATTTTTTACAATTATTTTACTAGTTTTTTTTTCCTCTGTGTTGACCTTTTTGGGTCAGTTTTGTTTAAAATGTGGGATTACTTTTCAAAATGTAGATTCAACTCTTTTATCTTTTTATTTTAATGTGTCATTTTATGTCTTTGAAAACAAATTTTATCCTATTTGCTCTTTACTGTGCCTTTTGTGGTATAATTCTTACCATTTGCCCACTGTAGTTTAGTCTTTAATTTTTTAATTTAAAAAAATCTTTTTCTTCTATTTCTTTCATGAGTTCTGCAGTGCTTACTTATTTCATCTCCTTCTCTCTCTGTCTTTTTTTCATCTCCTTCTCTTGATTGTCTCTTCCCTGAGTTCTTAAATTTCTACTGAGATCTTTCTTTATAGCTGCATTAAGAATTTTTGAATTTATGTTGAAAAGTAATGTTATAATTTTTGTCTACTTTGTGGTGGAATTTTCTGTTGAGTTGTTTTTTGTTTTGTTTTGCTTTTGTCAGGGATGCTGTGCTGCTTTTTAAAATTTTCTAAATGGTGTCTTTTTATGGATACTTATCACTTTTGTCATTCTTATTTGAATGAGATGAGTTTTCCAAAATCACCTATTAGAAGAGACTGGAGTGGGAGAGGGAAGTGGATAGGACATTAGGAGCAAGGTAGTTTTCCAGATTTCTCTGCTCAAGGCTTCTGTCCTCTTATTCTGATGGGTTCTTTCTTTAAAATATAGCCACATCTCCTTTGCCTCTCAGTAAATTCCATGTTTAAGCAGCTTCTGTTACAAGGTGATACAGCTCCTGCCTTAAAGTGCCTACTCAAATGTTAACAATTACAGGATTTGTGAAGGATATATGATAGTTCTTTATACTATTCTTTTAACTTTTTCTCCAAGTTTAAAATTACAGGAGAAAAATGCATGCCTTAGTTTTAAAAGGGTAGTCAGTCTGAGATTTGTCACTTCTAGTTCACCCTCCACTCACTCTCATGACTTTTTCTACACCTCCTTTCTCAGCTTCCTTCTGTGATTCTCCCATTCAAACTCAGTTCTAAACATTGTAGTTCCCACTTAGGATGGGACCCTGTTTCTGGGAGTGAAACTGCTCTTCCTCCAGTAGGATCCTTTCATACTTCATGTCTTTCTCCCTTGCATAGGCTCTGCTAGTCCCAAGTAAAAGTACTTTTGTTTTGGGCCATATTTACTTAGAATTTGGCATTTTCAGGTTTTTATTATCTCCTAGGTTCATTGAAGATGTAGGGTTTTTTTCTTTTCTCTCTCTTTCTTTTACATTCTTTTTGTTGCTTTGCATTGAGTTCTAGGAGGAAAGTAGGAAATTTTGAAAATAAGTTGCTGGTATTTACCTACTGGAACTTAAAGTTCATCTTTGGATACTATTAAAAAATAATTTATAAATAATCTGTTTGTCAAAGAAATCACAAAGAAAATTTTAAATATTCTGAACTGAAAGATAATGAAAATAGTACATACCAGAATTGGTATGATTAGCTAAAGCAATGCTCAGAGAGAATATAAAACCTTAAATGCCTATTAGAAAAGAAGAAAAGCATAAGTGACCTATGCATTCTTCTTAATAATTTAGAAAATAACATAATTAAATGCAAAGAAAAGTAGAAGGAAATAAGAGTTAAAAACAGAAATTAATAAAATAGAAAACAAATTTTCCTCTATCCTGTAGGTAGAAAGACTTCAAAGATTTTTAAGAAGGATAGTGACATGATCATATTTGTTTTCCAGAAAGAGACCTCTGGCAGCAGTGTGGAGAATAGATAGAGGAGAAAAAACTAATCTGAGAAGCCAGTTAGGAGGCTTTTTCAATCACTAGTTCAGGTAAGAGATGGTGATGGTCTAATGTGGGATGGAGAGGAAGGAACATATTACAAAGGTTAAGTTGTAAAAATAGGCTTAAGAACCATGTCCAGAAAAAAACTTTGGGTATAATTACTGGTACATGGAACTGATTGGAAATGAATAGACCAGAAGGTTGACTAGATTATTGAAGGGATTGTTTTTTGGAAATTAAACTATAAACTTAGTGTATTACTCCAATTCAACCAGAGAAGCAGAACCAGTAGGAGATAAATAGATTGAGCTTTCACAGTCGTAGGGGCTAGCTAATCAAGTCTGAAACCCTTAGGGTAGACTGTCAAGAAGGGCAGGCTAGAACTCATGGGCGTGGGCTGAAGCTGCTGTCCATAGAAGGAAGTTACTCTCCTTGGGGATACCTCAGCCCTTTATCAAGACCTTTCAACTGACTGAATGAGGCCCACCCAGATTACCCAGGATAATCTCTGTTACTTAAAGTCAACTGATACGGACTGTAATTACATCTATAAAATACCTTCATAGTAATATCTAGATTAGTGTTTGGTTGAATAACTGGCAACTAGTAACCTAGTCAAATTGGCATATTAAAAATAAAAAATTTTGGAAAAACATACCTGGCCTGCAAAATTCTGTGATTATTCAGTCTTTCAAACAACCTTCATAGTTCCAAACCTTCAGGCTCAGTGACTATGCTGTATTAGAAACTAGTTTTCAAGGACATACTTACCAACATACATTCAGAATGTACTTATGCCAAGTATGAATTACAATGTTGAGTATGGGAGGTAGCTCTGCTGTGGCTAGTTAGTTGGCAGTATATACCGTGTATAAATAGATCAAATGTTAATATGCCTAAAGCTTGAGGATTCTATGGAACATATGGGTAGAGTCATCTAGTATGTAGTTGGAAATTCAGGTATGAAAATCTGTAGTGGTAAGAGCTAAAAGTAAAAGTTTTGGGACTTCTTAGACTATAAATCCATATTTGAAACTCTGGAAATGAAAAGACTTCTTTAGAAATAGTATTTAGATTGAAAACAGGAATGAGAAGGATAGAGTCATAGGGAATACTAGAATTTAAGGAAGGAAGAGGAACCAGTGAGCAATTAATGATTATTACAGGCAGTATGAGAGTCAAAAAATGATGTCAAGGAAACCAAGAGAGGAAACGTATTCAAAGAGTAGGTCATTTCACAGTTAAGCAGTGGGAGCTTTTCCAATAAAATCAAGAAAGACAAGGATGTCAGTACTGTGATATTTAGTTACTATTGTGTTTGCTAACTTCTGTTCTTCTTACAGGTTTTAGTCTACATGTTACTTCCTTGAGAAGCAATATTTAATACCCTTCTCCCCCGTATCCAGCCATCCCCCAGATCTGACTTATATACGTATTTCTCTTATGTATTCCCATAGCACAGTGTACTCCCCCTGTAATAGCATGTGTCACCCTGAATTATAAATATTATTCTGTGTCTCCTATCAGAATGAAAGCTCCATGAAGCTAGAGACTATCTATCCATCTTACTCATCAGTATGGGTACCCTCCATGCCTGGCACAACTCTTGGTCATATTAAGCTAAGAATGAATGAATAAAACCAAGAACACAGAGGAGGAACATTCCAAATGAGCCTGGAAAGTTTGAAAAATATTTGTAGAAATGAATGACGTTTTAACTGAGCTTTACGAAATATGATGAGTCAAGAGTTTGGATTGAAAAGGAGATACGTAGGAAAAAAAAGATTTCTGAGAAGTCTCTAAAATGTAAAACTTTATTGAAAGATGTAAGTGAAAATCTAAATGAAAGAAATATATTAGTTTTATTGAGAAGACTCAGTTTGATAAGATATCAGTTCTCCCAAAATTAATCAATAAATGCAATTTTAAGTAAAATCCCAGTAGGACATAGAGTGAAACTTGATAAGTCAGTATTAAGATTTATTTTTTAAAAAATGGAAAAATAAATGACCATTAAAAGTCAATGTAATTTTAAGGAAGAATAAAGAGGAAGGAACTACCTTCCTTATTTTAAAACTGTAACAATTATACCACACTTCCTTAACTGCAGGGACAGACAGATTAATGAAGCAAATACAAAGCCTAGAAACAAGCCCTCTGTGTGTGTGTGTGTGTGTGTGTGTGTGTGTGTGTGTGTGTCTGCGCACGCGCGTGTGTATAAACTTTGTTATTAAGTTGGCATTTCAGATCACTGAAGAAAGAGTGAAATATTTAATGAATGGTGTTTATACAGTTGTTAACTATATGAAAAAAATATACCCATCTCACATCATATCCCAAATTTATTTCTAGGTGAATTATAATCTAAAATTTAAAGCAAAACTTTGAAGTTCTTTCAGAGAAAAAATAAGAGACTATCTCTAATATTGAACAAAATGTAACATGTATAAAAATACTGATAAACTTGGCTGCATCAAAATTTAAAACTTGTTTTTTATTAAAAGACACATAAAGTTAAAACGCTTGGAGAATATTTACAACACATATAACCAAGAGCTTTACAGACTCTAAGGAGATTGGTAAAAAAACAGTTCACAAAAGAGGAAAACCTAATGGCCAATGAACACATGAAAATCAGATTCTCAAATTCATCAGTAATCAGGAAAATGCAAAAAAAATCAATAAGGTACCATTTCATACTATCAGATTTGTAAAAATTTTAAAGTCTTGTATCAAGTGTTGGTGAGGGTGAAGTAAAAGAAACTCACACACTGTTAGTAGGAGTATGATTTGATATAGCTACTTTGGAGAGCAGTTTTTAATACCTAGAAAAGAAGTAAAGATGAAATCAAACATCTTAAAACCCTTAATATACCATACATATATTTTGCACATGTGCCGGAGGCATTATTTGTAATAGAAAATTGGGAACAGCCTGATTCCTGTCAGTAGCAGAATAAGTAAACATTCGATTGAGTACATAAACTGTTACATCGTGGTGTACTATATAACAGTTAAATGAACCAGATCTACTTATATCAACATGGATTATTACTGAAAACAATGTTGGGGGGATGAGCAAATAGCAAAAGGATATGTTACTATTTATATAAATTTAAAACAACAAAAGTATATCCTGCATACATACAAATGCTGTAAAATTATCAAAACATAGATGAGGCAAATACACATCAGTTTCAGAATAGTAGTTCCCTTTAGGAAGAAAGAGGAAAGAAGAATGGAATAAATTGGTTGGGGTAGCGAGAAGAGATGGACTAAAAGGCTGCATGTTTCAAGAAAAATGTGAAAGCATGTTTGTGTGAACAAAGTATGTAGATAACTTTAGTTGCCATTGTGATGCAAAGAAATCAAAAGATAGGATTTTTTTTAAAGATTTGTAGTATCTTAATGAAATGAAAATAAAGCCTAAAATTTTAAATGGGTTTATTAAAGTCAATAGTATGTACTGTTGCTGTGAAAAATAGTGAGGGAAAATATTGCACTGACCACCTTACCTATTTATATTGCCTTTTTTATTTGTGTAATTTTGATTTTGCAACCCTTGCCCTCGGTATATTGCACGGAACAAAACAGCCTTTATTGAACTTGAAATCTACTGGAAAGGATTGGTATTAAACAGTATAATGAGTACAGCAAAGAAGTACTGAGTCCAATGGGACCATGTAACAAAGGAATCCATTCTGGTCTCAGTGTTTGAGGAACATTTCTCTTAGGAAGTGACAGATGGGAGCTCGGTGAAATTTGGGTTGGGGATGAGTATGGAAGAGTACTTTAAGAAAGCAAGCAATTTAATTCTAATTGCATGACTTAAATCGTGTCTTCAAAATGATTGTTTTCACGGTATTTAGTATCCTAACTCTCAACTATGTAATTAAACTTACTGAATTTTACCAATCTAAGATACAAAAAAATTTTTTTCCCATTTCATCATCTCTGAAATTGGGAGAAGTCTTACAGTGGATGGTTATCACAATTTTATCAGCAAATTTCTCTTTTAGGATGTATGAAATATTGATGTACCTTATCATCACTAGCATTTTAGAGTCAATAAAATGCAGAATATTTTTTTAGTTTAGCCTGCTTTTAGGCCTAACTCATTGGCAACATGCATTTTGTTGTTGTAATTATGCATTTTCAGAGCATTAGAGTGAATCTGGCATTTATTAGTTGTATCTCCCTGAAGATATTTTTGTTTACCACTCATGTCCCAGGTAGAATGCTAAGCATTTTACATTAATTATAGTCAGCCCTCATTACCTGGGTTCTGTGGATACTGAGGGCCGACTGTACTATGCCATTTTATGTGAGGGACTTGAGCATCCACTGATTTTTTTGATAATCTGAAGGGGATCTTGGAACCAATCTCCCACAAGATACCAAGAGACAACTGTATCTCATATGAACTTCATCACAGTTGTTTGAGTTAGGTCATACCCCCAACTGAAGTTTAGAGAGAGAAAATCTCTAAACTTTCCCTCTCTAAAGTGATTTTTCTCTTTCTAAAGGTCACATAGTTTATATTCCATATTTATATTAATTTATATGTGCTATAACCTATTAAATGTGTATTTAAATATAACCATAGTTTATATTTGAGGTTCAGTAGTTTATATTTAAATGATAGAGGTCAACTTCTCCAATTCCAAAGCTTATGCCCTTACTATTCACAGCTCTTTACTGCATTCTTAAAGAAGCAACATTCCTGGCAGACAAATCTCAGACCCAGGAAAGAGAAATGTTATTTTATTTTTATTTACTCTCTTGTGCTTTTAAGTGAAAAATAGCTTTCTATAAAATATTCACTATGTATTTTGCTGCTAGAAGGAAGTAGTCAGAACATATAAGTGGTTGTAGAATTTAGTAATTGTAATTTATGCTGCTTAAGAGTCAAAAGTTCACACTGAATATGTTTCCTTTGCAAGGAAAACAGATTTCTAGTAAGTAATTTATTAATCACAATATAAATATTGCTTGCTTCGTATGCTTGTCTTGAGTTCAGGTATAAGATCCCTAAGGTTAAGAAATA